TTTCAGATATTTTGTATATTTCGCTATATATAATTCATCAGAAAAGGAGCATTGGAATTTATCTTGCTTGGACAACATATCAGCTGTTGGGCAACAGGAAAATTTTCACTAATTTTGATTTGGCTCCCTTGATTAGAAATTACATTCCGGATATTAAATTGCAACTATGCATGGTCATTGCACCTTGAAGCCTGCCAGCTAGAGCGGCAAAATGAGCAAATTTGAAATGGCGCCTGTCAACTGTTTATGCGTGCATGAGCGCGCGGGTAAAGATCTTTACCAATAATTTCGCGAAGACTGTCCCAAATTTTGCTGGATATTAGCATCTATGGAGAAGTCAAGGCGTTTTAACACATATATAAAGGTTAATACCAGGTATGAACACTAAATGAAACATGCATTAGCTATGATATAAGGAAAGTCATGACTGGGCACTTTATTAGGCGCGCTTGCAATTATTTTCCTCCAAGCATTAAATTAGGCTTATTGATGAAATCATCAACAGAATTCGTATAACGGTTCTCTCGATTTAAACTAAAGTTTTTTTTCCCTTGAGTGTATTTGCTTGGCTAAACTGTAGCTCTCTATTGACCATGCATATATATCGAAATATGACACGCATTCGAAGTAAGATTTCATATAGATGATCATGCAATTGTATATAACAAGACGTTCTCAATTGCATTTTATGTATATGTTAACGCGAGTAAAATGTATTCGGATATAAATGCGCACTGCAATATACCTCTTTAGATTGCTTATCATGGCCGGTGGAATCAAGTTGGGCCACGATCATCCAATCATTCCGAATAAACATGACATGAAAGGTTGCCAGACCTTGAAAATGGCTTGGCTGAGGTTAGAAAAGTTGTTAGCTTGGGCCGTGGTGGTTACAATTTATAGGATGCATTTACTTACATTGAAACAACAATTGTTTACAAACTTTGCTGACATTTTTCATAAAAAAGGGGTAGATGCTACCTCGAAATATATATAATTATATGATATAAAAAGATTTCGCCAGACAAAATGGATTAATGCTTTCATGCATGTCTTAAATAATCTTGATTAGTTAATTTTACTGTAAGCAGGAGGCACAAATTGTGTCACAAGTAAATGTCTCGAAGATGTTGAGGATCGTTTGTTTCTTAAAATGGTGAGTATAAACTCCCCTGTGCATGCATTTGGCATTGTCGTTTCTATATGGGCGGCAGCATTGCTATATGCTTTGCAGAAAAAATTATTTGCACTCTTTGTGATTTAAAAACCCGGTTTCTATATAGGCGTCTGCTATTGCTATATGCTTTAGTGAAAATACTGTGCAATCTTTTCTTGCTGCCGGGGTTGAGTATTAAGTTGTTTTGCAGGGCGGAACTGAATTCGGACCTTCGGGATTGCGGATTGCCGCGGTGGTTTGAAATGAAGATTTCGAAAATTATCCCATTAATTTACGCGCGTTCTATTTCTTTAGGTCACTATTGTTAGGCTCATGCAGGTAGCATAGGTATATTTACACAGTTACCTATGTAGATGGTCGAATATTTGGGGAAAATAAAATATTTCCTGATGAATATGACCACCAGGAATTTAGTTAGCTAATTTAATATCACAAGTATTAATTAGCGATATACTGGTTCATAAGTCATAACACATGCATATGTGATCGTATGGTCACAAAACATATCACTTACATGAAAAAATATGGCGGCAGAAATAGGGACATTGCAGTTTTAGCTTTGCGAAGAAAATATGGCGATGGTGCATGCAGTGGATAAAATAGATTATTATCAAATTTTTAAATATTCTTAAGGTATAATGATGCCCTTAGTTGCTACTGACAGTCTGACAGTACTGTGTATAGGCGACATTCCGCGACAAGCTTGACCGCAGCTAGAGGCTATTGCCGCACGGAACATATTGTGAGCACTAGGTAAATATCCAAGCTTATATTTTAAATATTTTATTACCGCGCAATGCATTGCTGAAATTGAAATGTAGATTTTTACGTGCATAAATGGTTGGGATATTTAATGTAGTAGGCTATTTTTACCAAATAAGTTTTGACAGCATGCAAGCACACGTTACTACGCTGGTTCGTATACAAACGAGCTTTGCGTATGCGATATTCTGTATAACTGTTATTAATGTCTGGTTATCATCTGTAAACAACTTGATCCTTGCGATAATTAATTTAGTCGTTTGCGCGTCAAAGAGTATAAGCAATAGTGTACAATGGAATCTCTTGTGTTTAGTTTAACATAAAATATGTATCCAGTAGCTGAAACTCAACCAAACTTAGACGGTGACCAATGACATTGCCTATGATATTATTATCGAAGCCAGGCCATTTATGGCAATCTTCGTTTACTCTCGGTTTAGAGCCGTGTTAATAAAACGGATGCATGCATGATGTGTTTATATGTCCTTAACCACCCATACATATAGTTTGTCCGTGGAGAGATTTACAAAATCTGTTACGTTGTTGCAAATAAACACGCGCTGAATATTTTGATGGGTATAGTTGCAGATGATGCATTGATTAATTTGACGTAACGATGATAATTTGTGCTAATAACTGAAGGCTTTCTAACGATTAATAAACCCGAATTTAGATGCAAAATGCAAATGTATATATATATGTACATAAAGTATAAAATAATGTGATTTAGGTAGTTTAGCTAATAGATTTAGTTAAACATTGAAATGAAGGTATAGCTATTTATATGTACACGCATACTTGCGCCAACACATGTTACGTGTTTGAAAATATTTCCTATTCTTTTAATTAGTCAATAATATCTTGCGTCAATCATACGCGCAACAGGCGTTCAGACTAATTCGTTAAAACCGTTCATAAACATAAATCGTTCAAACGGCTTCAGATTGAACGTTTATTTATCCGTTCGTATTCTCGACTTTAAACGTTCACATTTTTAGCTGAATTCGTCAAAACGTTTTTTGGGTTCGTTAAAACGTTATTACAGATCGTTCACTACCCGTTCGTTATCCGTTCGTTTTGCCGTTTCAACGAAATATCGTTAACGTACGTTTTCCCGTGGAAGGTCACATATTATAAGTTAATAAAGTTATTTATATTATTTCGAAGGCTCTAGTACATGGGATTTTTAATGCTCGAATAATTTCCCCCTTTTATGCATTTTATATCATTATATGATTATATTTAGTTCAATTATATTTGGCTTTGTTAAGTTGCTTTATCATGACGTTTCAAGCGAATGCTTTCTGAGTACCGCATTCACATGAGGCACGCAATGTACCAAGTTTAAGGTCTGCCTTGAAAAAGTGTCCCTATAATTATACCATTATATCTACCAATATTTAAACCAGTGACCGCGAAATGCTTGTGTATGCGCGGAATAACGTGTGTTTGTAAAAACATCAAAGAATTAACTGGAAGCTGTAGGTTTTTCACTGATTTAGGTGCAGTTTTTTAGCTTCACTGTTGCATGTATCACCTGAACACGTGTATTATATAAAAATGGTAAACCGCCACGGCGATATTATGGCTAAGTTACTAAAGTTATTTATATTCATTTCGAAGGCTCTGCATGGTGGGATTTTAAATGCTCGAATAATTTCCCCCTTTTATGCATTTTATCTTATCATATAATTATATTTAGTTTAATTATATTTGGCTTAGTTAAGTGCATGCTTTATCATGACGTTTCAAGCGAATCCTGTTTGAGTACTGCATTCACAGGACGCACGCAATGCCTGCGCCAAGTTAAAGGTCTACCTAGCAAAAGCGCCCATATATTTAATTATACATCTACCAGTAATTAAACGAGTGACTGAGTAACAGCGGAATGTTGTTTATTTCTGTGTTTTTAAAATATCATGCATATATATATATATTACCTTGTAAATACGTAGGAAACTGCACTCTTGAATTGTTAAAAATTTTCTCTCACTATATAGAGCTTAAAAGCACTTTCTACTGTTTGTTATTCTCTCAGTTATTTATTTGTGCCTTTATTATTTCTCTGTTATATTCGTTTAGTTGCATGATAAAGCTAAAAACTCCATGATGTTGTTGATGAGGTTCTTGATGTGTTGAGGATTAAAATTAATGGACGTCCACACAGAGCGTTTAACCGAGTCCTAACGGCAAATATCTAATAACAAAAGTATTTAAATCTCAATAACAAGAACTAACATTTTTGCTTCATATGATTATGCTCAAAATGGTTGAGAAATTAGCATTGACTGGAGTGCAATTGATCCGGTATACAGCAATCATTTGGTATTTGTCAAGTGAAGAATGATCACAATTTGTAATTTACGATTTTAAAATCAATCTTGAATGATCCCAGGGGCCAGTTGTTCAAAGCTAGGTTAGCGCTAACCCTGGGAAACCTGCATGGGTTAAATTTTAATCCAGTGTTTTAGATTATGTGCTTCTGAACCACTGTTCGTTTTGAAACTTTAGAAAATATGACTTCTATCGGTACAGAAAATATTTTATGACAAAAGATATTCAACTTTGTAAACAAGTTATTTAAAAAAACCGATGTAAAGATTTGCTGTAACCCTGGGTTAAGCTAACCGGCTTTTGAGCAACAGGCCCCAGAAGGATTGTGTTTATCATGATTGTATTAGATGAATGTTTTTGTCCAAAAATAAACTAAATGTTGTTTTGCCTGAGGTTATATAAGTACATGTAGAAGGTGTTTATATTTAATATGTATAAACCTACGCAAAAACTCTGTCCTGTCTTTGTTCAGCAGATAACAAATAACATTGAATTTTGCCAAAGGGTATAGTTCCGACGTCAGTTTAAGTGCGCGTTTAAGAGCAGATAAACAATAATCTTATCGTAACACTTTTTGTTTATGGCTAATCTACATGCTATTAAAAGTTATTATTTTATATAGGATATAAGCTCAGTGTAGCAGAACCCATTATGTTTCCGGCAATTGAGCGATTAACAATATCATTTCCACAACGTGGAAAGTCATTTCAAGCATCGGTAAATTACACAAAATCGGAAAGTCATTCCAAATCTGCTCATTTTAGGTTTGGCGACGATCAAGATATAAGTGGTCTTCAAATTGTAAAAACTTTTGGTAAGCATTCTAACAGTATTATGATATGTCTAACTATTCATTTCTTTTTCATGTTTGGCACAGCACGACCTATATATATAGGTAGAGTGTAGTGATCATTGATGTATGCGAATGTGTAGCTGGCTTGGCCGGTTGAGTTTAATTAATTACTTAGACAGAGCACTTAAGACTTGTCTTCAGAACATGGCTAGGAAATAAAAACGGCAAGACGAGTAGCATTTTAGCGAGTAATTGTATATTATTTCATGGTGTAGCATACGAATTAGCCTACGCGGTTAATGTATGTTTGGGCGTAATCTGCACTTGAAATCTCATCGAAGCTTCAGCCTCATCAACATTAGTCGGTTCCTCGAGGGCTATGGGGTAAGACGCTGCATTGCAACGCTACGAGGACTTGTGCAGAGAATTTTGGATTAGTATTTATATGTTTACCCAGCACGGCCTGTTTTGAAACAACCGTGACTCAGATACTCCGGAGTATATTATAGGCATGCGCTGACTGACTTAATCAACTGTGTCTATAATTTTATATGTAGTCCCGTCTACAGTGAAATCTGAATTTTTCCTTGCCTAGCTCTAAGCGTGATCTATTCTTACGCAGTTCAGGTTTTTGTTTAATCTGGCACTTTGTCAATTGCCGCGTATATAGTTTACGCATATCTGCGGCCTCAAAATAATTATGCCTTAAAAGCTCATGTCTGTTTACGTTTATGCACTTTCTACGCAAAAATTCACGCATCCTTTTAAAAGTGACACACTCACACAAATACCTAGGTCTAATTATATCGCCTTTATGTTGTCGTTTAAAAGGCTGCGGCGACTTCTAAAGATGTTTTCAATACTGTACTTATTTTACACACATCGCTTTTTTGGCAAGCGTGCGTCGTGCAAACTGAATGGTACTATAGTTTTGCAAAAACCAAATTAAACTTCAGTTTTAATTTGTCAGTTTACCATGCTAGGAATTCTTTGTAAAAATTTGACATGATTTAAAAAATTGCTTGTTATTAAAATATAACATTGACTCATAATTACTGATTCAGTAAAATTAATTAAGTGTGACGTTTTAGACGTTTTAGACGTTTTAGACGCTTTGCGTAAATTTGCATCCCATATAAATACGTGTAAAGAATCATTGTGTATTTCACTTTTGAACATAATTCCAATTAATTTGTTTGCTTGATAGAAATGAAAATCGAATTTTGAATCTGATAGTTAGTAAAAAAAAATTAAAACTTAATGTTACCAAAAATCACTCACATAATCGGATTTAGTGCCATTACGACCTAATTTTGCCTACATAAGGCACGGTACGGTATTGCCCCAGAGGGATAACACCCCAGGAGATATATATAGAGGCCTGGCGTTATAAAATTACACGTATATACAAAAATTAATAATCATATAAGGTTTTGTTCTGAAAACAATCTCAGTTTTCTCAGTCTAAAGCCGGTTTTCCATTAGCGATATTTTTCGCGCGAAGTGACTTTATTCTTTTATCATTGGGCAATTTGTTCCAGATGGTTGCAGTTGAGACCTCCGAAACAAAAATAAATTGTCAATTCGCGCGCTTTAATATACTTATAAGTTAATAAGTTCTTTGTCGGTTCCTAATGAGAAGGTTTTTATGTTCATTGGCGGTAAAATCATCAACAAACGGGACATATGAAGTGGAAGCTATTACAAGTTTTTAAATAATTCGTTCCAATGAGTTGTGCTCCGGGAGCACTTTATTTCAAACATTTTCAACCCAAAAAAAATGTTTCAAATAAACCACATTACCTAATACGTATATTCGTCTGCATCCAACGACGAATTCGCCAGAAGAAGCGTAGCGATTTATTACTAGTTAAAGACTGTGCAACTTCATTACTTTAACGAGGCGACTTGTACTCATCTGTATTGCAATTTTACATCACTGCTGAATTTCATCAGTTCTGCATCACTGCATGTTGGACGTTGACCGTTTTAACCACAATCTGATCGCATTCATGCTGTAAAAAAGAATCTTAAATAATAGCTTAGAATAGAAATCCATCAGGCAGGACTGAATATATGAATATTCACCCAACCCCCCCCCCAATTATCGTTCTAAAGTTAGTCACACCCTTGGTTCCGTTTATTTTAATGCATCTGTCAATGTGATGATCAATGCGGCCCGGAAATAGCCAGCAAATACCTTTATTTTTTCATGATTATTTTATCGATTATTAGCCAAAACGCCTAAAACCAATAAATCCAGTAACACTCGCTTTGTCGATTCTAGGTTTATTCAGATGAAGCTCGTACAAATTATTTTGACTTGTTGGGTGGTTATCGGCGTTCAAGGTAAAACTGTTCAGCAGTTTTTTGACCATTTTAATACAAAAAACCATGCTCCGTTTTCGATATTTAGTATTGCATATTGCCGTTACAATGCCTAAATTTTGCATCTTTTAAAACAGCTCATTGAAATCGTATAATCCTTCAGTTATAGGCTTTGAATTTTCCCACGATAAATACGCAATTGTTCTAACAAATAACTATCCCAGAGGAGGTATTGGTAAAATTACAGTCGATGACGCCCGAGATGGAACGGAGTACAGTATCGATACCAGGCCCGTAGCTGGGGGGGGGCCTGGGGGGGCAATGCCCCCCCATTCAGAAATAAAATTGAAACTATGCCCCCCCAGCTCACCAAATTATTCCTCTGTTTTAGTGACTTTCATTCCGGAAGGTACGCCCACTTGACATTGCTTTACTCTCTTAATTAAACAATTCTCGGTGTTATTTTCTCGCAAGCTAATTAATATAAGTTATACAAATAATTCGTAATTAATTCATAGCAGAAAATTAAAGGAAAAATCACGGAAATTTACAGAAATTTAAAGAAATTTACGCAGGAATTTTACGACAGAATTTTTTTGTGGAAACATGTGTTGTTAAATCCACTGTTAAATTTTAATATTTTTGCAATGTGAATTATGAAGAAAACATTATTCGATTATTTTTCAAAAAAACGAAAGGAGCCTTGCAGCGAAAATGAAAGTGATTTGCAAGGGAAAGGGTATTCATCTGTGGAAAGTCAGGAGAATATATCTAGAATGTCGATGTCAATTTCTGATGAAAATGAAACACGTATCGACCTCGAAGAACGTTTGCATTTCCCGGCAACTGACATTCACCATGAGCAAAAACGCGAAGCAACGGAAGCATGTTTGTCTGGTGCTTTCTCAAGTACAGAATTCACAGAAAGCATGTTTAGAGCGACAAGAGGTACGACCCCCAATGTCGACAGCAGGCCATTTCTTACTGATTTAAATCTACACGTTGGGCAGGATGTGGGAGAGGAACCGTTTAAAACTTCTTTTTTTGCAAATAAAAAAGCTCCTTATCAACCCAACCTGAAGGTATACCCAGGAACGCGATTTGGAACTAGATTAAGATGTTTCAAATCTAGTTGGTACAATGAATATAAATGGTTGGAATATAATGAAGAGATGGACGCTTGTTTTTGTTTTCCTTGTAGACTGTTCTTAACAAATCCGACAGAGTCGGCGTTTACTAAAACAGGCTTTCGTGATTGGAAGCACGCCAAGGAAAAGGGAAAGGGCTTTAACAAACATCAATGTTCCAGTGATCATTTGAGAGCAATCGAAATTTACGAAGAAAAGAAAATGCGAAATTTACGCGGTTGTACTGTTGTAGCATCTCTCGTGTCGCTTAGTACTGATCATAAGCAGTGGTTATTTGCTGTTTTCAACGTATCAAGATACTTATGTGCAAATTCCCTTCCATTTCGGGGCACGAACGAGTCTGATATTGACAAAGGAGATGGTTTGTTTTTAAGAGCTTTTTCTCAACTTCTGTTTCCATTGGAAGAAAAATGGAAAAAAATCCACAAGAATCTACCAAAAAACGCTAAGTACACTTCTCCTGATATACAGAACGAAGTAATTGAAGTATTAGCATCCTTAGTAAAAAAGAAAATTGCTGACGACGTACGTAAAGCGGGAATTGTTTACCATTATGGCAGATGGCACGACTGATAAAAACAGAAAGGAAATTCAAGGCCTCGTTTGCCGCTATTTATCTTCCGTGGGAAAAGTAGAGGAGCATTGTCTCAACGTGAAAGGAATCGATGATCGCTCTGCTAAAGGTATATTCAATTTCATCAAAGAAACTTTAGCACAATTTGAAATATCAGTTGACGGTCTTGTATCACAGTCTTTTGATGGTGCTAGCGTAATGTCTGGGGACTATAATGGACTGCAAAAGCTTGTTAGTGATTTCTGCGATCGGTATATTTTATATGTACACTGCTTTCTCCACAAAATCCATCTTGTTGTGACATTTGTTACAGAAAATCTTGACGAAATAAAGGAATATTATGGCACAATAATGGCGCTTTACAATTTCTTTAAAAAATCAGCCGTCCTAGAATCATACGAAGGTACTGCATTGAAGAGATTGATCGAAACGCGATGGTCTGGTCACTACGAAAGTACGAGTCACGTAAACAATAATTACGGCGATTTGATTCAAGCTCTTTTAGTGGCATCGAAAAACAAAAAATTATCCGGGGAAGACAAAGCTCAGGCAATCGGGCTTCTTAATCAAATGAACGATGACGATGATCATTCATTTGTATTCATTAACTGTATGTTAATGAAGGTGTTAAAACCAATTGATATTATGGTCAAACAATTGCAATCCGTCAATGAAAATTTCATATCAGCATTAGAGGTCGTTAACAGTGTCAAAGAAGAAATCAAACATGAGCGCGAAAGTGCTACAAGCGAGAAAACTAAAAAGATGGTCGTTGATTTTTTGGAAGACGTAAGAGTCACAACAACGAGTGGAGACCAACGCCGGCCCAAAAGGAATACAACAATTCCCTCTCGTTTTAACGATTTTCTGGTTACTGAAACCTTGCCAAGTGAGAACAAAAGACGTCAAAACATCCAAATTTATACAGAATGCTTGGATTTACTGCATGCTGAATTCATTCGACGATTTTCCACCGAGAACATTGCGTTGTGGGAAGCTATGTCTGCGTTATCGCCATTGTCTGATATGTACCTTAAATATCATATTCTGAAGCCTTTATTTGACTATTCTGCTACGATTCCTGTGCTGAGAGATTACTATCTAAAAGAAAAACTTTCAGCAAAAGATTTAGAAGCTGAATGCAGAATATTCTCTCGAGTATTCCAAGAAAAAAAATGGCCCGAAAACGAAAACGGGAAAATTGATTTGACCGAGGTTGCCATTGTTGTCATTAATGATCACCAGAAAGGAGCTCCTGTACTATCTTCCTTATATAAAGTTGCACTAACTTCTGGATTCACATCTACGCGAGTAGAATGCGTATTTTCGTCGTTAACTCGCGTTGATTCTCCTCAACGAAGATCAATGAGAACACAGAGGGAGGCAGATCTTGCTTATCTAAGCTTCGAAAGTAAAGTACTAATGAATGACATTAGCTTTGACGATTTTCTTAGAGTATGGAAACTGAAAGAACGGGCACTGTCTCTGTAATAAGACTTAACTGTCATTTTAATTGCATAACAGTCTTCAGTTAGAGTTTGTTGTATCAAAGAGTTTCTATGTTTTTCTTTTACGTTTCGAGAAATATATATCAAATATTTTGAGTCGACTGGTAGAACATACTATTACAATTTTTCCTAGGCTGCGACCGGAGTGCTATTTTTTTAGCAACTGCCCCCCCAGCAGTTGAGATCCAGCTACGGGCTTGATCGATACGCAATATTTCAGAATCGATCCAGATACAGGACACCTTGAGTTGCTCGAAGACGGTAATAATTTGGATGGGTTAGAATTTGAAATCACCGCAGAACACTTGAGCAAAGTAGCCACAACAGAAGTAAAGATTTTTGTTTTGCCCTCGCACTATGGGGACCAGTTTGCATTCGATGCTATAAACAAAGTCCACAAGGAGCTTGGAAAAGATAAAAGAATTCCACTCCCGCCAGCTTTTGTTCCAGCAGCTTTGGATATTTTGTTGCAACAAATAGCTGAAGGTGATCCAGTTTACGAAATTTCGGAAGCTGAGGCTATCCTCGAAAAAACGATTGATTTAGTCCACGAAATTATCATTGAAAAAACTGGTAAGTTTTTTTGAATGATTTTAAAGACCACGCTAGGGCCGCGGGAGATTCTTAAAGGAGGGAGAGGGAGACGGTAAAAACGTACAATTTGGAAAGAAACATTGATCATTTCTCTTCAAATTATAAGATAAAACAGATTTATGAATATTTGTCTCCAAAGTTAAGGATCTCCCGCGGCCTCTATCATAACATTCTACTACATCTTTCAATTCTGAATAATTCTGAGTGAATTATTCAAAGTTATTTCAAATAGGTAAATTCAGTTAGACTAAAAGCTAAATTTATTCGCTATAATTTATCTTTTTTCATTGATCACTAGATAAGAGTAATGAATTATTATTATTTCCTTAGTTTTTAGCTAAAAGTGTAATAAGTTATAGTGTGTTAGTGGAAATAAAACGGGCACACGCGATTGCCATAAATTAGAAGGACGAAAATGTTAGGGGGAGATTATTTTGGGCTGATAATATGTTTTTACAACACCATTTGTTAAGAAGGTTTGTTTACGTCTCTCATTAGACATAGATGGGACTTAATATTTATATTTTAGGCTGTTGTTAACCATACTTATCTTAAAATTTCATGTAATTTTTTTAATAGAAAAAAAGGAAGACTTTGAAAAAGGTGCTGTTCTTGCTTTTCTACAAATACATGAACTTTTCTCGAGAACGATCATTACAAGTTTAGAGAAAGAGGCGAACTGCGCAATCGCCACGACACCTGTGACTTGCCTGAAGAAAGCGAAATACCGCCGTTTGGACGGGAAATGCAGCAACCTCAAACTGCCTGTATCTGGAGGAGCGGGAATACAGTTGGAGCGGCTATTGCCTGCGGTAAGAAGACACAACTTCAAAAAATACCTTTACTCATATCTGAAGCACATTTTATTTCACTACCAAAATTTTGGTCGTGTATGACCGCTGATCTGATTATAGGCTGATAAAAACACCCAGTGGCGTACATGAATATATATTGTGCAAGACTAATTTCTTTTCAAATGCATTGTCTTTACAGGTCTGTTAACATGAATATATGAGCATATCTGCTGCCCCCCCCCCCCTCATCTCCATTTATCGTCTCCCGTACGTCACTGAAAACACCCATACCATTCGAAAAAAAAACAGAATTAATTAGCTAACAATGTTCCCCATTATGGAATATGATACATCACGCATTCCGTGAAAAGCCTTTCCGAATAGCTTAAAAAATAATTTTTAAGGTTACTTTTTGCATCAGGCTCAATCACTCAATCAAAGTCAAATCAATCTCTAATCTGTATGATAATAGCGTTGCTCATAAGGTAGTTATTTTTCTCGGTTCCGGGTCTCTTTTCCAACCACATTGTTGCGGCATAAAATGTATTCTGACATAATTATGGTGCGTAACCTGCCGTGTATTTCTCACAAGGATGTAAAATCTCAACAGAATACAAGACAACAGACTATATCCATCAGAAGTGAATTGGATCGAACACAATTGGATCTTGGGCATAGACCTTTAGACATTTACTTAAACCATATGCTAATAAACATGCATGCAGACAGGCACAAAATGACATAAAATGATTTTTTTAAATATATTTTTGTTATACATATAGATTTATTATGATGCAGACGGCTTAAACGATCCTTTCGGTTTTCCTAATCAACCTGATGCGCCTCTACTCCCCTCGCCCTTTGAAGTAACTGATAACTACATAAAAGATGAAGTAGCCAACTCAACGGATCCTGAACTAACACCACTAATGATGCAGTTTGGTCAGTTTATGGATCATGATTTGACTCTTTCTGCTGAAGAAGTGGGAGCTGAGAAATGCCTGGCAAAAACGTATGTATATACTTTACATAATATGAGTTTAAAATACGACGCTTTTGATTCACGAACGCCAGTCGGAAGTAAATCTTAGATGGCGAAAGGCAGAAGTCGCGGATGCTGACGCAATAATTTGCAGTCAAATAATGTAAACAAGTGGGTAGAAAACACATTGATAAACGTTTGGCAGTACACCTTTTTGGAATTCGGAGTCTGTAGGAGCTGAGTAACTAGTAAAATGTGATGTGATGTGCAATCTCAGAGTAGACAGAAACCTCTTTGAGTAAACAGAAACCTCATTAACCTTATTAGCTCAGCCTCCTAAACCAAATTTTAAATAATATTACATCAGTCAACTGAAGCTTTTCGGGATACCTCTAAACTCCAATTCCGAAAATCTGATTACCATGCGGGTAGGGTGGTGTCAAATACACAAACAGTGTTCCAAATTGTATAATGACCACATAAGCATATAATTATTATTTTCCAAAAAGTAATCCTCAAGTGTGTTGGAATGCGTTTTAACATTGATTAGTAAGAAGAACTTATATTGAAATTTAGTTGTTTATTTTCCCAATTCCTATTCTCTTGCAGCTGTGATGGTTCGGAAGATAACTACGATGCGCCATGTTATCCAATCCAGCCATTAGGTAATCACCCTTGTATAAAGCTGGTAAGATCTGCAGCAATGTGTCAACAAAACGATTACCCGAAGCATAGAGAACAGATCAACGACGTAACAGGCGTGATCGATGGTAGCCAGATTTATGGATCATCCAAGGCGACAAGTGACGACTTAAGAGACAAAAGAAGTAAGTCTATAGTTAATTGTGGTTATTTAAAGAAACTGCTTCCATCGATAAATCACTCCACTGTTCATCTTATCTCAAACTCGCTGTTAGTTTACTGTACTTAAGGGGGGGAGGGGTAAAGTCACTTCTGCGCATCGGTTCTGCTCATAACAATGAGTAGACCAGTTTTTTCAAAATTACTTAAATTTCGCATGTTTTGTATTTCTCTAAAATAAACTCTCTCTCGCATTCATTTAAATATATAGCAAATCAAATACTCTAAAAGTTCTCGATATTTTAGGAAATTGAATAGACGGAGTCATGTACACAAAGCGTTTGTGAACATTACGGGCTGTACCCCGTTACTGTGACAGTAAAAAATTTCGAGAACGTCCCTATAAGAAATCAGTGAATTGTAGTTTCATAATTATTACAACGGAAACTATACTTGAAAAATTCACAATTTAAGAGAGAAACTGCTACACTTATGAATCTCTCAGGGGTGGATCGAGCACTAATCCATTACAAAACAAAGTGGTTATTTTTGGCAGTTTTCATGTGTCATGCAATAATTTGCACAAGTGCTAGGCCCACCCCCCGAAGCTCTTGTCAACAAAAAACACTTCAAAGTAGATCTTTAGTTCTCGAACGCACAGAGTATTGACCGTAGTTTTCCATACATTGTACTGTAATTCTATAATGTCCATAATACATATATCGCTCTATAATGCATGCGCAAAACTTACTAAAACGCGCAACGTCCACGACATAATGGCTATAAACTTCAATTTTGCATTTGCATACCCAGGTGTATCATTAAAGTCTGCGGGCGGAATTAGTAAGTCAAGGTTTGACTTTTAGTCATTCCAAAAATTCAAGTCAATCTCGTACTACATGAAAACCAAAGTTTTCGACTATTATGATACATAATTAATTTTAAACGAAAAATTTGGATTTCGGTTTGGATTATCCCATGGGCCTTGTTTCCTTCTCGAGAAGAAATCGCTGGCTCGGGAAATAAAATTGCGTATTTTTGAGATACTGTTTGTTGTAAATTTACTCGATGAATAATTTACGTACCATATTGCAGGCTTGTGGATTGAAATCGAGGGACCTCGCATGAAAAAAATTGACACTGGCATGAGAAGTGCGGTGTTCGCAATTGGAAGAGATGGCAAGACATACCGTTTAAGGGTAGACAAAATTTGGGTGGAGACAGAATTTGATCTGAAACATGTCAGTGTCGGAGGGGCAGGTGAGTAGAAAGAAGCACGCGAGATTTTCACAAATACGCAAATACGAGGTTTTCACATTAGCAAATACGAGGGGATGCTTTTATTCCATTATATGTTACTATTTTGAAGGATTTCGAGTGCTTGGAAGAAATTATTGCCGTATCTAAATCATTTTCATAGAATCAAAAAATACACTCTTATACAGACAATCGGATTTCTTAATGTAAATCCGAGGAAATATAAGCCCTCCAGGGATGATGGGTCGCAAACGGTGTTGAACAAAAATTTTCATACTCCAGATTAAGGAAGCTCGCTATGCAATTTTTGAAATATGGCAAATAATTTGAGATTTAATTGTTTGAAAAGAAATTTCTATGTTTATGAAGAATTATCCCTCTTAATGTCTTCTTGTTCTCTTCATTTCAAGGTATATGGGGCGTGGATAAAGATAAGAATGCCGTGCGACATGGAAAGGATGGCTTCGAAGTAATTCCTGGGATTAAACTTCAGCAAATCGATTCAGGGCCTGAAGGAGTGGTTCTTGGAGTAACGTTAGGAAACGACGTTGTCTGCCGTTCGGGAATAGTACCGTTTAAAGTTTTTGGAACAAATTGGAAAAGAATGAGTGTTCCCAAATCGAAATACATCAGTTGTGGGCGACTGGGATGCTGGGGAGTTGCCTTTCAATGGTTCTGTTTACCATCTTGAGTTGTCAACCGTCAGGGTAATTGCATTGCAAAGAGCTGGGTATGTTGAACTAAAGGGAACTCTCCCATTTTTCATGATTTTTACTGATAACTTTTCAGGGAATGGTCAGGGCCGTGGCCAGAGGCTTAAATTCGGAGTGTATGTTCATATATTCATCTTATGCCCGTCTGATTTCTTTTGTACTCTATTGTTCTTATAGCGTGTAAACATAAATATACACACCCCCTTCTCCAATTAAGTGGTCTAGGTACGGCCCTCAGAATGACCATCAGTAGGTAATACCGTTCAAATTACAGTAGGCATTTCTAAAATTCTCATTGCAAAGAAAGGGTTACTAATACTTTTTGAAATTTACAGCAAAAATGAGTTATTTTTTCTATATTTAAATTAAACATATGAAGGTCAACTTTATTTAAAAAGGTGCCGAATTCCTCTTCTATAATCGTTCACTGGGATAACCCCAGAACTATGAATTAGTTTTTGGTATTAGAGATTGGCATCAGTTTTGGTGTTAAGAGATAAACACAGTTCATAAAAGTTTGTATTAATCTGGCTACAAATTTTAAAAAGCTTTCATGATATATTCTTTTTCAATATTCTTTCAATGCGGAAATCCTCTGTTGTTTTCCTTGTGTCAAGAAATTGACAAATGGAAAGAATCTATAAAGCATTTATATTATTTTGTATTTCCTGCAAAAACTGACTGGAATAAGTTAAATAAGGATTTCAGTTATATTGTAATCAGAACATAGTTGGCGCAAGTTGATGTACAAGTGAATGGAATTATTGCAATGAAAACATGGACTTATTAAAAAGAAGCAGTAATTTGCATAGCATAACGGAAGCACGATTCCTTGAAATCGTTGCTCGCATATTCAACGATATTCTGAAAGAGCAACAATTTTGTACGTCCATTTTGTACAGTAATGTACTTCGGCAACGAATTGTTTTTCATATTTTTTTCTTACCAACCAATAGGTTCCAATTGATGGAAAGATGAAACAAATTGAAATTGGCGGCGATTCTGATGTCTACGCCGTTGATTCTGAAGATAAGCTATACGTCCGTGAAGGCGTGAGTTCTAGTAATCTCTGGGGCAACGAGTGGAAGTTTCTTCGTGAAGCATCATACGTAACAACAGGTTGGACTGGACAATATATACTGGACGAAGAAGGAAAAGTTTTTCGGTCAACAGGTAAGAGCAGCAACGGAGACACATAGGAGCATTACTAGCTATCGACAAACAACTTTCCGGGAATTGCACGAGTAAGGTGTAAACTATTTATTGAAACTTAATTGATCTTACTAGGTTTTATTTCGATATCAGGTCTTTTTTTAAAAGATAGGCAGTTTGAAATTGGAACATCACAACATGCGCCAATTCTATGCAGAACATCCTTTTTTTGAGATAGATATAAAGGTCTGTTGACACTTTCCAATTTTGTGGGATCTAATTCACTTTCGAGTTTTGATTAATGTTTTATTTGTCTGTCGACTTGCAATGTATGTATATGTGCAGCTAATCGACTAAAGCTAATTCTGAATCAATACTGCTTTATCAATAACAGATTTTATAGGACTCGCATTGATAACAGTACTTCATTGAACTGAAGCGATTCATCCTGTATACATTCGATTAATAATAATAATGATTACATTCCATACGTCAGAGGTGAATCAGACCCGAAAAAGTTGGATCGTCTGAACCACGCATAACAGATATACCGTTATTGCGAACTACGATCGATATTTTGCGGCGATATTTATACAATTGTATCAATTGAACTTTTTGCAAGTATCATCTTGCAATCAGTTGTAATTCCACATAGCATCATAATTAATCATATTCAATTTTTACCAAGATTTTCTTCTGAAATCCTGGAAATTTTCTTATTAACCTGTCAATTCAGTTCAGCTCAAACTTTGAACTTCTTCGCCCAAGCGTTAACGATAAACACGTCTCTTTAGATGACGAAGGACTGTTGCTCACGTCAGAAGGTGACTTGCTTCCGTTGGATACTAGCGCGAAAGGATCAGCTTGCGTGCAGACTTGCTTCGTAGCCGGTGATATTCGTCCGAATGACCAACAAGGATTAACAGCGTTCCATACGTTGTGGCTTCGTGAACACAACCGCGTTGCTAAGATACTGGCGAAGATTAATCCTCATTGGGATGGCGAAGTCATATTCCAGGAAGCCAGAAAAATTATCGGAGCTGAAATACAAAAAATTACCTATAAAGACTACCTGCCGATTCTTCTCGGAAACGAGGGTATTTCTGAATACAAAGGCCACAACGAATCTGTCAGTCCCAGCATATTCAATGTATTTACCCTCGCATACAGACTGGGACACAGCATGATCAGATCAAAGTTTGATATGCTTGACCCCAGTTTCAACTCTATCATGCCACCGATAAATTTACGATTATTATTCTTTAACAGCACAACGATTAACAATCATGGTGTGGCCATTACTTTTAGGACTTGTCGGAAATATATCTGAAAAAGTGGACACGCATTTGTCACCTGAGATCATTGACCATCTATTCGAACGAGACGGTGGGCATGGTGAAAATCTTGCAGCATTAAACATACAGCGTTCTCGGGATCATGGATTGCCTGGATATAATGCATTTAGGGTTTTGTGTGGACTCAGAAGCGCGCATTGTTTTAACGAGACCGAGAATGAAATAAAAGATCCAGAGAACAGGCGTATTTTAAGTGATCTTTACAACGATAACCCCGAATTAGTCGAATTGTGGGTAGCAGGAATAGCAGAGACCCCGGTGAATGATTCAGTTGTTGGTCCAACATTTCGTCATCTTGTGGGAAAGCAGTTTGGGAAATTGAGAGACGGTGATCGCTACTTTTACGAGAACGAGGAAGCTGGAATATTTACAAAAAGCCAGGTTGAAGAAATTGAAAAATCCAGCATGTCTCGTATTTATTGCGACAATCTTAAAAATATCGTCTCCATTCAAGAAAATGCATTCAAATCGTCAGTCGACGAGCGTAGGCGTGTATGTGATTCAATTGAGGGGATGTCACTCTGTGCGTGGAAAGGTAAGGAACGTTGATTTATCAAACTAATCTTGAAAACTTAAACGCTAAGTCTTAAGCGCTAAAAAGCTCGAGCTCTATACGCGCAAAAGATATTGAAAGTAAATTTTTCAATAATTTTTCACTCAACTTGAAATTAGTTTACAGAGTGTGGATCATTTTTGTCCGGATTATAGCGGGCTAAAAACAGTCATATTTTCACTTCGATTGCACCAGAATAATAGAGGCCTTACGATTTACTGAACAACGGCGACTCTGAAGGCAACGGATAGTAAACGATAAAATTCATGAAGATCAAGAAAGTTTAGCGTGCCACGTTCGGTATAATCCAAACATTCTGGCATCTTTCTGAATCGCCAACACTTGGCTTAAAGAGTAGAATTATCTGACATCTCTTCCATTAGAAAACTTATACGCTGTGTCGCTGTTAGGTTATTTCTGGACAGTATACTGTAATATGGATGGAATATCTAATATAGATCAAATATCGGTCTAAATTATTTTAAACTGTTAAACTTGAAATTTCACTTCTTGTTCCATAATAACTCGCTTTCGAGTGGCCCTAAAGCTCGATCACTCACTTTAAATGAATTCTCCAACTCTTTAGACTGCCTTCTTGGGAGGGCCAAAACGGACGAAATGAGCGGAAAATGTGTTTGCAGATGTCCAAAGACGACAAAGAGCTGTAAGAGTAAGTGTTATTGGAAATCGGCATTTATAACGTTTTCAGAGTGCATCTTAATTGTTTATCGGTTAACCAGTGGCGTTCCACGAGAAGTCAGAATAAATTACTACCGCTCTAAATTGCAATCATATTGTCAGGTTTTCATGGAAAAACATTATTTAGAAATACGAAAATCCGGCGTAAAACGATGCGTAAAAAACGGGAGATGTCTGATTAATATATTTTAAATGCAGTCGTAATTGTCGTCATTTTTACCTATTAGAAATAGTCCACATTTCTGTCTTAAAATAGGTCATTGGTTGAATTCACATACATAAAAATATTCTATTACACCAGCAATGCACCTGCATGGAGCCAGTGGTTCGCTTATATACGCTTACTCTTGGTGAAAATTTCCCCACTGTTTTGGTTTGTTTGCTTCTGAGCCGCGGTTTGTTTCAAAATTCTTCAAAAACGACTTCTATATCACTCCAGAGTCCAGACAATATTTATGGAAAAAGATATTCAACATCGTAAACAAGCGATTTGAAAAATTCATGCAAAGATTTGCTTTAACCCAGGGTTAAGTTAATCGGCTTTTGAACAGCAGGTTCCATGGCTCACGACACATACGATTTAACGCAAACCATATGCATTGCAATTATTATTCAATAATTCAACAATATTTGATAACGCTTGCTTCAAATATTTCAGGAGGGTGGTCGGAAGACTTGGGAGATTCATCGAAATTCTTAAAGTTTCCCAGCCAAGGATCAGAATTTGTCGATCTGAATGGAGATGGTAATCTCGATTTCGCATATCATTTTTCAAACAAAGGAGTGGTGTTAAAAGGAGCGTACCTAATCGATCCTGTCGCGGAAAAGTTTATTTCCGAGCCGAAATTTACACCACCACATGCTATCTCGTCTCATGAAAGAAAAGATTTAGGTAAACGTTTAAATGATGCTTAATTTATTCTAGACCCCAAAATCGGCACCCCTAAATAAAAAATACTCCGTGGACTGTGCGTTTTCAAATCAAGCCGCGTCGTTCGTAGCAGGCCACGAATTATTGCACGACGTGAAGTTTAAACATGTCGTAAAAATGCCGAATATATGGCGTGGCATACCATTTATAGGCAAATCACGCCATTTTTGGCGCCATTTCCCTTCCTCTTGCTAAATCTGCCTAATTAACTTTCAGGCGCACGCTTTGTTGATTTGAACGGGGATGGAAAAATAGACGTGGTGTATCACGGATGGAACAGTCGAACACAAAAGCAAGTCAGAGGTGCTTATATTAATACAGGCGAAGGTTGGCAGCCAGCTCGACACTTTATTCCGCCATATCCTATCACTTCTGATGGGGTGAAAGATTCTGGAGCCAGATTTGTTGAGTTAAACGGCGATGGTTTAATGGACTTCGTGTATCATCTTTCTCTCAAAGGGAAAGAAAGAAAGGGAGCATTCATCAATACAGGTAATCCAACAGTAGTTCTCTTATTTAAATTAGCTTTAAAACCAGAAACAGTAATCAGTGCACGGAGAAAGATTACCGCGAAATTGGAAAGATTGGAAAGTTTGTTTGCGAATCATTGGAATCGAAGAAAGATAACCTAGAATTACCCATTTTTTACGCGTAATAGTAATTGATTATAGTGAAAATAAGTTTTTCAACTTTTTTTCGTATAACTCTTTTGCTTTGAAAAAGGAACGCCCACACAAGCGTATCTAGAACAATGTGCCTCAGCCGATTAACTACCTCCTGGCCATCAACACTAGCCAATAGCGAGTAACATATCACGGGACCAGAACAATACTATACCAGATTGTCCTGATATAAGTGCATGCAGCAACCCCCGCTATTTCAAGTGAAGCAGAGGATTTCCTGAGGTAGCCATAATACATATATGATAATAATGTTCACATCTCGTTTATCCATAGGAAAGGGTTGGGCGCCGGCACCACAATTTACGCCTCCATACCATATAGCCGACGACCGTGGAAACGAGGGCGCTAAATTTGCTGATCTGAACGGAGACGGCCGGGATGACATCGTTTACCATAAAAAGCTGGACCGTTTCACTATAGAAAAAGGCGCATACATTAATAATGGTCAAACATGGATTTGGTCTCCACAATTTACTCCACCTTTTAACATGATTGGAGGAAGATTTGTTGACCTCAACGGTGATGGCAAAGTTGATTTAGTTTACCACAGAAAATTTGAGTCGCAGGTAGTACTACGTGATGTTTTGGGCAGGGTATATTTGCGAAATTAGTGTAATAAAACCAATAATTTTATCGAGAAATTGTGCGAATTAATATAGGAGAAATTGGACCAATTAATATAGGTGAAAAAAACATTAAATTAAAAACATGCAGCATATGGTTGGTGTTACAAAACCTGCTGATCTGAGATCATAGTGTCTCTCAAAATATGGAATAAAAATACAGGTGTTTCTCAAATCATAATGAAAATATGAAATGCAAGGAATGGTAATTCAATTCAGCTCAACGTTCTGATTAATTGATATTAATACTTTGATCCCCTGATTACCTACATGTGAATGAGAAATATCCAAAAAAAAAGCCGAACAATAATTCATATCATCCTATCGACTATAGTATACATATTTACCTTCTTTAGTTTCATAAAATGACCATTAGTGGGCATGTTTTAATAAGTTATCGCCACCACCACTTTTTCATCGACAATTATATCTAAATCTCTAAAACCTTTTTCAGAGAGTGTTAAAAGCTAGTTTCATAAACAATGGATATCTTTGGATTCGTGTACAAAAGTACACTATACCAACAAACACAGATGAACTTGGAGTTAAGTTTGTCGACGTAAATGGGGATGGATTATCTGACGTTGTCTGGAGAAAAGGCTTCTCTGAGAAAGGAGCAGCTATCAATACCGGATGTGATTGGAAACGAGATGACAAATTCACCCCACCTTATAACATCGCATTGCCAAATAGAAAAGTGAGATTTGTTGACCTAAATGGAGATGGAGCTGTTGACATTGTTGATCTATCCAATGACAAAATAAAAGTGAAGATTGGTAAGCAAATATTACTCGAATAACATCAAACAGTATCATGCTTCAAGAAGGGGGTTAAGGCAGGTAAAGAAAGTGGGAGCGGGCGCGGAATGGTTTCTCCACTAGCTGTTGTAAACCCTTAAAAAAATTCATTTAAAGTTGCATGTACCATAAAAAAGTTTCCCTCGTCCTCGGTCGTGACTAAGCCGTAAGGGTTTGAATAAAACATTTTCTTACGCCTTGGTTACAATATGTGGTTGTAACATTAGTTTATTATCTACGAATTTCATCAAAATAGAAGTTTGAATTTACGCCTACGAATTCTTGTTTCTTTCAGCTTGTCCCGATGAAAACAACATTGTCTGATCATGAGTTGGATTGTGTTTTCTTCCAAAATTCAAATGATGGTGAGTTTACAAAGTCCTTGTAAATGTTTGTACAACACGGGTGCGATTTGTTTGCGTGGCGCCAGATTGTCGAAAACATAATGACGGTTGGGAGAAACCTTAAAAATTAATAACAAAGAACTTCAGAGAAAAAAATAAAATGTTGCGGGAGTTTTCTACATCGCATACTCTAAATCGTATTAAATATTATTATGATTTAACAACCCGTCATATAAGAATAGCGTTCCTTTTTCCTATTGTATTTTTTTAATTTAAAAGTTACTCGGTACAACATTCAATGAAGAAACTGATTGCACAATTTTGACGAGGGTTCTATGACTAGACTAAAGAGGTTTCTATAATTTTTGAGCCTTATAGAATAGTTTGAAAACTATTCTATAATCCGAGTTTGAAAACTATTCTATAAAGCTTGAAATCTGGTCATGGAAATCTTATCAAATTCATATATAAAGTAGCTTTTAACTGTTTGAAGAGTAAAAAATTAGAAAACTTTCGTGACGCTTTTGAATATACATTTTATGAAAACACATTTTAATGTAATTTGCTGTAATAAAATAAACGCCATCCTCACGTCACATAATCTATATACTATAAACTTCCCCAACTTTTTTGTCCTGGCAAAGAATAGGAACCATCCGAAATAAGTAAACGTTTTAATGGACGCCATTTTGTTTTCGACAATCCGCGCATGCGCACACAATATAAGCAAAAAATTTATAAGAAAGAATTTACAACCTTAAAAAAGTCATGAGTAAGATCGTCGTATCCAACCAGTTTCCTCAAAATGCGCGATACGACCTTTCCCAAAAAGCTATTAAGTATAACGTGGACAGAAATGTTATATTCCACGTTATGACAGCACACTACTGGCGAAGACGTTAGCGCAGTGCGCGTGTAAAAAGACTGGGAGAATAACCAGGCCATAATAAAGGCGAACAGCTGAATTTACACCACTAAAACAATTCCGGTTTTACACACAAGTAAAGTTGAAGTCATCAGTGGAAAATGCACTTTACTGGCATATTTTAGACCAAATCACAATTTTTACGGATTTTTTTACTTCTATATTGTCTCCCAGTTCTTTTGATGCGGTAACTGCGCGGAACCTGCGCGTTTCCCGCCACAATCAACGAATTATTCAAATCGGTTTCATCCGATCAAATGACTGGACTTTATTTTGGAGTTAGCCTATCGTTCCAATTTTGTTAGAGTTCACTGCTGTTGAATCTAATATCAGTGACAAACTCTATAACTGCATCACATGATCAACGTCCCAAGCGCAGAAAATGTGAAACACAAATGCGGGCGAAAAAAGTCGTTATGATCATTCTTTCAAATAAATGTGAAACATGTATTGAATTTGGTTAAAAAAAAAATGCAAAATGATCAAGCTTTAGCTTGTCGTTAAATCAACCTTACTCTTCGTTGACAAACTTAGCTAATATAATTTTCCAATGTATATCACTTATTACATAACTTTTTATTATACACTCAAGCGCTGGATATGAGCTAATTAACTTGCAATCTGATTGGTTCTCTACTAGACTGCAGATATATTAGCTCATATCTGTTTAGTAGAGAAACGTAAACAAAACGGCGGGAAGGTTTATGGAGATCAGCGACGATGAAATTTAGAAAAGTACAACAAAGTGCACCGAAAGGCGACGAATTTTGAAATAAAAGTATTCAGCGATAGGCTAAAAAATATAGGCTTACAAAATATTTGAAAGTTTTTTTTATCCAGCGCTTCTGTATATAATAATTATAACAGTTATTTGGCTCACTCTCGTCGTATAATTATGACTAATAGCTAACTCAACGCTGCACGCCTCGTCGACTATCACGGCACATATATACAACTCGTGTTCTCAATACTTAACTGTTAATTATCTGCTTTCTTTTTATACCCCTACTTAAATCGTCCTCTTTATACTTCACCGTAGAAACGTCTCCCAGTTATTATCATGTTGTATCAAAATGGTAATATTTCTTACATGAATGAGTCGACGATAGCGATCGGTTGGAAATTCGAGAAATTAAAAATATTCGAATAACGAACTGACAAGGTTAAACACTTTATCTTGTTTAGAAACAACTGAAAGGAAGTCAACGCTTGCAGTGAACTTGAAGGACAACATTACTTATTATTAATATTTTTAATGCAAGGGTTTTCATTAATTTTGATATTCGAGTGGTGCTATTTTTCAGTTAGGTTGTTGAAGTGTCATGAAGTTGTAAATGATAAAAAAAATGAAAAATGTTTAGAAAAAGATGATAATAAAATGGTGTGGTAAGATGTGTATCAAACAATTCTTAGAGAGCTTTGACGTTTTAAACATGCCGGAAAGGTGGACACAACATACTATAAAAACTTTAAAAGTCGTCACATAAAAAATTGGAGCAATCATTTGGGGGTCATCGAGAAGTTTGTGATATCGAAGAGCATACAGTACTAACCTGACACTGCGGTTGCGGTTCGGTCGCGGTCAACTGGTAGAAACCGCAGACGACCTCAAAGAAAAAAATACGATCGAAGTGGCCGTTCGCTTCCAAACGGAATGTTATGAACGGCTGAGAACGACAAAACAATAATAAAATCGAAAACATCTTAATTGGGAAATGTCTGTCAGACCGAGGTTCGACCGAGGTTAACTGCGGTTTTTGTTAGATTATTTCAGGGGACAGTACAGTCAGTACTGTGTATGCATCACATACTGACCTTTTTATGTTCATAAGCAAAATGAAATTTGAAACATTTCTCTATTAGCACCAATTATGGTGGTGCTTTGTAAAGACGCCCCTCTTCCGATGTTAATCAACCCCCGATATTTATGCCATTGAGATAAAGGATTAGCACTAAGGCCTAATTGTTCGTATTAATCGCCGTAAAGTTATATTAAAGTTAAGAGTTGGATTGTTAAATTGTGAAAGTTGCACAATGTCACTGGCACGTCTCACGGTACTTTTAGAAGAAAAATGGTTTCCTTTTAAATAACAATACGACACTTACAACATACAAAAAATTTCATTTAAACTGACAAGAGCCTTTCTTGTGCAAAAACAGTTTATTTATTCTAACCATTACTTAAGCTGTTATTTCGGGGACCAAACATGGGTTGATATCCGCCTGCGGTGCTAGTTGACGGAATCGCTGAAGCTGAAAACGAAAAATGGAGTCTGCTATTTCGTTCCGTTTTCCAGAAATGTGCGTTGCCCGAATGTGCATATTATATCGCAGGGTAAGAAGAGTTAAATGACGAAGCAGATCCATGACCCGAGGGATTTTGGAACGTTTGGTGCTATAATCTTGTTGACGACTGCCTCATTATCGCACTTAAATTTAAGCGTTGATCGCGCAGCAGGGGCCCCCAAATTTGACATGCAACGACGGTAACAAAACGTTCTTGCCATGCAATGCTTATACCGGGAACTCCTAGTTGTTGGTGAGCATGCCATGTACCCTGGAGCCATTAGGTCCCAAATATGCCACCATATATACCCAAGTGTCCCGGAGGCATCAGTGTATAACACTAATCTATCTGAATCCTGCTATTCGGAAGATAAAAAGAAATTAGCCCGTTCCAATTTAATATTAAATCCTTCCATATTTCAAGATCTTGGTAGAAACTCTTACTGGGTTTGATGTGATGGTGTTGCTTTTTAACGTTGCGAGTCAGGGCAATCATATGTTTTAGAAAGGGGCGGCCGGGTGGCAAAACTTTGCATGCGAAATTCAAAGTTCCTATATGAGGGATTGTAGTTCCTTCAATGTGCACGAGGTCTTGTGTTGGAAATTAATGAATATGTCATGCAACCGTGTTATTTTGTCTGGAGGGAGACGTGCCTGCATTTGAACCGTATCTAAAATTATACCCATGAATTCAAGAACTTGCGACGGACCATGTGTTTTGCCGGCGGCTATCGGTATTTTTATATTTTGAAATGCAAGAAGCATGCATGGCAGATAAACTTTGTTGACAGATGCTGTCAAAGGGCAAAGCGGGTGCTTTTGGTTCAATGAGCAAAAATCATATAGGATATCACATGCGAAGGAAATAGGGCATTTATTTAGTAAGATCCACTGCGCAGACCAAATGGCAGAACTTTGTCGTAGTAATATTTTCCCGCCCAGCACATTCCTAACAATTCATAATCGTCCGGATGTATAGGTATGAGCCGAAAAGCAGATTCGATATCGGTTTTTGCAAGAAAGCGACCTTGCCCAAAACGCATAATTCCCTTGATCACATCGTCGATAGTAACGTACTGAAGACTAAAGTCGTCTTGTGAGATAAAAGAATTTATGCTGGTCATACCCGATTTCGGAAATGAAAGATGAGATATAGTGCGGAAATTTTCCGCATGCTTTTTAGGGACTAACTAGATAGGAGAAACTTGAGAATTCGGAAAGGGGGCTCGTTAAAGGGACCAGCAACACGACCTACCGAAAACTTCGTAGCTAAATTAGATGAAACAATTGCAGGGTCCGCATGCGCCGTCGGTAAATTTTTGGAAAAGCGTGGCGTGCGCTGCCCGTAAGGGCTTTTTCTAAATTATTTACATCGATGGGTTTCGGAACTAGGTTAGTGCTTTGACTTGGCAGGTCTGTGGTTGGTGTCATGGCGCTTAAAGATGCGTTAGGCTTCAGAATCTTCGGCGGTCTTGGTCGGACAAAAATATGCTGTATGTAGGCCTCGGCATTTACTACATGCGTGCTGATATCGGCACGGCTGATGGGAACATCCAGATCGGTTAATATAATCGATGCAGAGACCTCGTTCGCCCTCTGAGGAAAACTGCTTTTGGAGTCCGTTATGAAAAAGAGGGTACTCCCTTCTAAGTACATAGGGAGATACAGTAAATATCATCAACCACAACTGTTGAACCAATCGATGCATGCGTTGAGGAAAACTTTTCGGCGAAACCTATGGTCGTAAATACACTATCAAAGGCCGCGATGAGTACGAGCTGCGTGGTGCGTTAGACTGATGTATTGCAGCAATTCCTGAGCCCGTCCCGGGAACGAATGTGTCAATACACTCATGTAGATCCTGAAAGCTGTAGTCCACTGTTCAATATCGGTAATTTTTGCGACGGACTGAGACGACCTTATAACCTTAATTACCGAGTTCTCAAGCGTCAAGTTAATAGGCTCGTTGTAAGAGCCATTAGAGAAGTTTTTTGGGAGAAGCTTACCTAAGTAAAAAAACTCACCCGATTGAATTTGTCTCACGTATGCTGCGGGAATATCGTGGAATTCGTGGCTGTATGGCACTTGAGGTGACGGCGCGGTAGGAACAGCTGAGTTTATAAAATGCGTGGCTACGGATTGCTCAGGAGCATCATCAACGATGGCCTCATCTACGCTGTTGGTGACGGAGTTCTGACCGGAGTTCTGCATGGATGCCACAGCAGCTGTCGCGGCGGTTGTCGCGATCTGTCCAGCCGATTTGTCGAGGATGGCCTGAATTTGCGCTACCTGCATGAGCATCATTGAAAGCGTTCGCTGACGCTGCCTGTCGAGGATTATCTGGGGAAGTTGCAGGAACCATCTCTGACCATCTCTGGCAGGAAACATCTCTGATAATTCTTTAAATTTTGCAAACTGTTTCTTTGACCAGAGCTATTTGCCAAGTGGCAAGATTGAGCTTGTGCATGATGCTTATGCGTGAACCTTTGAATTGTTATTCGTTGTTTTTTCGCGCCAAATGGAAAAGGAGTCTAATTGGTTGATTGAGCAGGTCAAATGATGTTCGCGTGCGATACCATATTGAATCTACTAATTCATTAGAGTGCCGGTTTGACGCATGTCTGACATGCCGCCCGCAAAACACACGTTTTTGCCATCACCGAAGACACACCTTGATATGAACGTTTCCTGATTAACTTTATTTTAATATTGATATACTAAAATAGCTTTAAACAAATGCTAAACAAATACCTTACAACATCAGCTTAGCAAATTACCGAGCAGCAAATAATGAAAGAGAGTCAAGTATGAATGACAATATCATTTGCCTCCTTTAACCTTCGGTTTGGAAATAACGGCAATTCTCGATCGTACAGGGATATTGAAAAGATCTTTATATGTGCCAGGTGTTTGACCACGTAAATCAAACGAAACATTCACCCAAGGCTGGAAAATGAGGCAATGAGTTGAGCCACCAAAATGGAACATTCCAATTTCATCTCCCTTCTTAATGTAGTCACCTTCCTTCACGGTAATCTCATTGGTGGAGACCTCGGACATCCCAACAGAGAAAAACCATCAGACCAATATCAGGATTGTCGGCCAGGATATAGATGATACCTCTTGCAGCAACTTGGCAGATGTAACCCTGAGAATCATTGTCTCGAAAGTTGTAAGGTTGGCTGTAGTAAGAACCATCGACCAACTCTGTTTTCACAACGTGACCAGAGACGGGACTGTGCCATCGATGGTAGCTGGTTGCACTGAGGAAGGCTTGGTAGAGGGTTCCACCATAAAACTTCTTAGCCATCGCATTATTGTTGAGCAAATGATCTATGGGAATATTAATAGATAAATGATATCCTATAGCTCTCAATTACAGACATGAGGTCGAAAAGAAATTTTACATTTTAAAGGTAGGTTTGATCATTGGCAACTGGCAAGCCTGATTCTCATTTATATATTTTACGCAATTAAGCACTGCGGCGGCGACACCAAATTATAATATCGCACAAAAAAGAACCAAAGATCTGCAGTCGTGCGTTGATCATGAGCAAGAACATAAGCATTCCTTTGTTGCGAGCTTTTCTTTCTGAAGGAAACAACAAAAGCTGCCCAACGACGATACTCTGATATGCTTACCCAGTGAATAATACTGTTTCTTGACCCAAAACCAGTTTCGTTGTTTGATGTCATGTGCCAGTTTGAAGGGTGCAGACTCACAGGCATTCGCTACGACATTGTCGTCTTCAGGAGATTCGACTGGCCGTATTCCAGGCCGATACTTCCTAACGAAGAAATCGTCCCACGATGTGAAGCCATAGTGTGGTTTAGTAGGATCACATTCAAATTCTTTAACAAAATTCGGCATTTCTTCCATCGCATCTTCACCAAACCAACCAGATTCCTTGTTTTCATTCAAGACATACGTAGACTCATAGCTGGACAAATACTCGCCCCAGTAATTCAAGATGTTTTTGAATAATTTGTTCACCTGATGAGAAAGGTAATGTAATTTATTTAAAGTAACTTACGCACCAATTTTTGCTGGGGAGGGATTGCTTGCACAAAATTCTGACCGAACCAAAACCCAACATGGTGTTG